GTCCAGCAGCTGGGTCCAGCAGCTGGGTTCAGTAGCTGGGTCCAGCAGCTGGGTCCAGCAGCTGGGTTCAGTAGCTGGGTCCAGCAGCTGGGTCCAGCAGCTGGGTTCAGTAGCTGGGTCCAGCATCTGGGTCCAGCAGCTGGATGGGTCCAGTCCAGTTAAGCTTCAGGTGGGTCGCTGGCAATAAGTCATCTGGACTTTTTTTTTTTACCTCATTCAACCAGCCGGTCAGCGTGCAGCTGTTGATCCAAATTGGATCGTCAGCCACGCTCATCCACTGACGCAATCAAAAGCCCGACACCAACCTGTCCCTCCCATTCAGCAATTCGGTTCAGGTGCTGGCCCGGGTTAGGTATGACATCTCTAGCCACTGCCTGGTGACACAATCATGTGACTGCGACTAGTTGACGTGAAATTTAAAAACCCGCGAGATGTCTTAGTGAACTCGTTGATTCAAACCCTAATGTATGTATGTATGTGTATATACCGGTGTATGTATACACACATGCATATGTATGTATGTATATGCACAGGCCACAGGCGTGTATGTATGTATGTGTGTGTGTGTGTGGGGGGGGGGGTCTCAATAACTTCTCTTTAAGTAATGACAAAGGTCATAAACTGTTTGTGCTTTCGACAGCATCCTTCTGCTTCGCATCACGAGGGACTTCGTAGTGAAATAAAAAACACAAACCTTCAGAAAATGCTTTTTCTCAGAATATACAGTGGGCAGACTGACTTTGCTGAAACTCATTGGTTAAAATAAAAAGCAGTCAAGTTTTAGCTAAATGCTAACGGAACCACGAGCTAAAAGTAGTAAAATTCTGTCTGCAAGCCATAAAGTACATGAAGGCTAGCTAAAGGCTAGTTAAATGTAGCAAAATGACAGTTTGAGAAACTAAAAGCAGCAAAATGTCAGTTAAAAGCTAAAGTAGCAGAATAGCAGCTGAGAACTGAAAGTAGCTCAAAAAGAAAAGTAGAAGGAATATCTGTTGGAGGAGATTTTATACAGAGCGTTTTTAGGAGATCTCATTCAATCATGTTAAATGTTGAAAATACTAAAAGTTACAAAACTCAAACGCCGTAGCATCATTTCATAAATGAGCTGAACAATTTCATTTATCAATAGCTAAAATAGCACAAAGTGTGCAGTAAGAAGTTGGGCTGCAAAAAATGTTTGATAAAAACAGGAAACGGTGTTAACTCTGAATCACCGCTCACACTTACTTCTTCATGACCACTTTTACAGTTTCACTCTTCACAGATACTTTTTGTTTCTTTGTGTGTGTGTATGTGTGTGTGTGTATGTGTGACTTCTGTGTAACATGTTGCCTGTTTCAGGACTCAGGGATTGATATCGGCGATATCTCTGAGAGGAAGGCTCTGAGGAAGAGGCTGCAGTGTAAAACGTTCCGCTGGTACCTGGTGAACATCTACCCCGAGATGAGGATGTACAGCGACACCATCGCCTACGGAGTAGTAAGCTGCTGTCGTCTTCTCCATCACGTGTTCAGTTCCATATCTGCAAAATAAGCAGAACACAACTAGAACAGATCGTTTAAATCCCTCGTAATGAGATGTAGAAGGATGCTGTCAAAAGCACAAACAGTTTATGTCCTTTTTCATTACTTAAAGAGAAGTTATTGAGAGACTTTTTTTTCCATTTTCATTAAATTTTTGTTCTTGGCCTAGATACAGAGATAAATTAGTTGAAGCTTACATAATGATATGTATATTACGTTCCTCTGGAGAGCTTTGCAGCAAGATCTGCCAGGAAAACTGACAGCCAGCAGGGCAGGCTGGCAGCACTTCTAGTTGTTCTCAAACAGCCTGATTTCCACAGTCCTCCCACCTTGCATCATCATGATGTGCTCTAATAGAGAGTGGCACACAGACCTCACTGTGACAGCACAGCTTTTTCTGTTTGTGGACATTTATTTTCCTTTCACAAGCTAACAGAGATTAAACTCACACAGTAAACACAGATATAGGCAGGGTTATGTTCGTTGCTCAGCGTCAGTCGACCTTATTCTACATTTGTTTCATGCATTTCATGATTTGTCCTGTAAGGATGCCTCAAGGATTCATTTTATACAGCAGAGTGTCAGCCTTGGTTAATGTAACAAAAGTAAGTTTTACTAAAAACCATAAAGCCTTATTAGTAAAACTTTATTTTTAGAGTAGTCCCTCGCTACTTCGGTTCCTTTTCGTGGACTTGCTCTATCGCGGTTTTTCAAAGTAAGATTGGACATGACACACTGATTGATGGAGGAGCCACACGATCGGCAGGGATTTTTTAATTCTAAATAAAATATTTTAAATTATTTAGCCCCTGTGTGCAGCCCTCCTGATTCATGCTCAGTAATCCAGGGCGGACTCCAGACTTATGTTGGCCCACCTGACTAGACAAACAAGCACATATCAGGACCCACTGCCGTTTGCTTATCAGCGTGGACTTGGAGTTGAAGATGCCATCATACACCTGCTTCAGCAAACTCACTGTCATGTAGAAAAGGCAGACAGCACCGTGAGAGTCATGTTCTTGGATTTCTCCAGTTTAACACAATCCAGCCTGATCTGCTTTGTCAGAAACTTCAGAAGACTCAGGTGGAGGCTCAACCATCACCTGGATCAAAGACTACCAGACAGACAGACCACAGTTTGTGAGACTGAAGTGTTGTGTGTCTAACCAGGTGGTCCGTAGCTCAGGAGCACCACAGGGAACCGTACTCTCACCATTTCTTTTCACTCTGTACACCTCAGATTTCCAGTACAAAACAGACTCCTGTCATCTGCAGAAATATTCAGATGACTCTGCAGTGGTCGGGTGGATCAGAGGTGGACAAGAAGCTGAGTACAGGGAACTGGTGGACCGCTTTGTGGCATGGTGTGGAAACAATCATCTCATCTTGAATGTGAACAAAACAAAGGAGATGATTGTAGATTCCAGGAGAAACAGGAGCAGGTCCTACCCTATTTCCATCATGGGAGAAGAAGTGGAGGTGGTGGAGAAGTATAAATACCTTGGGGTTCACCTGGACATCAGACTGGACTGGAGATGCAACAGTGAAGCGTCTACAAGAAGGGACAGAGCAGACTGTACTTCTTGAGGAAGCTGAAGTCCTTCAGTGTTTGCAGCAAGATGCTGCATATCTTCTATAAGTCTGTTGTAGAGAGCGCTGTCTCTTCTGTCATCATCTGCTGAGGGAGCAGCACCAGAGCAAGTGACTTCAAAAAGATCAACAAGCTCATAAGGAAGGCTGGCTCAGTTCTGGGGACTCCTCTAGAACCTTTGGAGATGATTGTTCAAAGAAGGATTCTTCATAAAATGAAGAACATTATAAACAACCCTCAGCATCCTCTTCATCAGACTGTCATACAACAACAGAATGTCATACAACAACAGAGTGTCTTCAGTCAGAGGCTTCTTCAGATGTGCTGCAACGCTACAAGAGATCCTTCCTGCCACAGCCATCAGCGTCTAGAACAACTCTTTAATGAAACCAGGATGATGAGTAACCACAACATTTAATTTCCCTCTGAGATTAATAAAGTATTTTTGAATTGAATTGAATTGAAGAAACCACCGAGCACCATCAAACTGGTTGACCCACTATGTGAAGGTGCTACTTATGGGACTGAGTTTGTTGCAGCTCCTTGGACTGAAGAAGTCCTTTGGATGAAAGACAAAACCTTTCAACAAAAAGAAACCCTCCAGAGGGCCTGAGTCAACTTTGTTGGCATCGTCTTTAGTTTTTGTTGCATCAATGCTGCGTCCACATAATTTATTCAAATGATCAAACTGCAACAGAAGTGAAACGTGGCTCTGGATGCTGCAGCACTGTGTTCACAGGTATCAGTCAGTGCTACATGTTTTTTTATGTTCTCAGCACTTGAAATGTTTAGAGGTGAGCTGTTGGCAGAACAATGAGCTACCTGCAGCTTTACTGATCATCAGACAGAAGTAGACATCTCCAGAGCCAGTAGGGAGCTGGAATTATTCCCAGCTGTGTATTTTTCTGATGCTCCATGTTTGTATAATTCTCCCCTCATACAAACTAGCATCCCTGCGGCTCCCTACGGTGCACTTTGTACCTCGCCATCAGGCAGACCTTTGTCATGACGAGCACGAATAACCCTCTGGGCCTGAAAGACTGAGTCATGTTTGTGAAGCGTAAAACTTCCATTAGCATTTTTATAAAACAAAGTGACTTTAAGCAGATTCAGATGATGTTTTACATCAAACTCCCTCATGGTGTTTGCTTTATTCTTTATGCAGTGAAAACCAGGTTGTCCCTGGGATGAGGTGGTTACTGGGGGCGTAAACAGCTTTCTTCTAACTTGTGTTGTTGTTGGCACGTCCAAACTCAAACAGTGTTGAATACATTTTCTTAACAAAATCCAGCGAAGCCGCAAGCAGCGCTCAGTGTTTGGATTCTGATTCCTCCTCGCTGGCCTCGACACGATGCGCTGCAGGGACCAGGAGAGCTGACGGATGAAATATCACTCTGACGATTGATTATCTGCAAACTAGACACCACCCGTAATCACAAACAATCTGTTTTCAATATTCTGTTTGAAGCCAATACTTTTATGAACCCATTCTTTACTAGTAGATTGGCCTCACTGATAAATGAGTGTGACAAATATTTGATTGAACACTGTCACCGTATTGATCCTGCCTCTAAAAAAATCATATTTTTTATGTCTGTTTCTTTTTCTCAGTTAAAAAACTCCCTGAAGAGCGAACTGTGTTTGGATCAGGGACCGGACAACGACAACGTCCCCATCCTGTATCTCTGTCACGGGATGACACCACAGGTTAGACACTTATTAAATCTCTGTCTCTGCGCTGCTGCTGCATTTCACCTCTTTATTTTATTTCCTTTGTGGCCTTAACCTAATTTTATTTTTTCTATACTCACAAAAACAACCCTTCTTTGATGTTAAGTAGTTTTACCTAAATAATCCAATCTACTTCTCTTCGCCGCTGTAAAGATGCAAACTGATTCTGAAAAATACTTTAAACTAAAACAGCATGTTATAATCTTTGTTGTCTTCATGTCAACTATTTGAATTGTCCGTGTGCAGTTGTGCCTTTCTCACCAAAATAACTCATGAATTACTCTGTTTTAAGTAATTATTGGATGTCCATTTACAACAGATGAACTTTTACTGTCAACTTTCTTCAAGATGGCTGCCACAGTCAGCTGATGAAGACCTTCATTTAAAATTTTCCTATTACCTACTTGGAGTCAAGTCTGTTTGTTAGCAAAATATTTTATGAAACACTGAACTGATTAATGAAGCGTTCAGGAAATAATCAGAGGATAGACGTCTACAAGTCGCTGCCTTTTAAAGCCAAATCACTTCAAGACGGCCACAGCCGACCTTAAGATTTAGTTTGGTTTTAGCTGAGCATCTTTTCTAACATCCTCCAAGTGCAAAGTCTTGGTTTCAAGCATTGACATCAACTCTGAGTCTGTTAGCAAAATATCCCAAAACCATTGGATGAACTTTGTTGGAACTTTAAGAGAATAATCTATTGTTAACTCTGTCATTTTCACAGATATTGACCTAAACTTTTTTTATTGTACTCTATTAATCCCCAATGGTGAAATTATTTGAATTATTAATTCCTTTGGAGAATTGTCAAATGATGTACTTTCCTAAAAGGGTGCAGAAGACTGTTGAAGATGACAACTGTTTACAACATTCCGAAGTTCATGCTCATCAATCCAGGTAAAAATCCAAGAATGTTCAGTCAGGACATCTGGGTGATTTATCTTTTATTTTTTGCTGAGAAGAGTTGCAACTAGTGTTTACAACATTATCCAACATTTTTCAGTCAGGTCATCTGGACAGTTTCTTTTTTTTTTTTTTTTTTGTGCTTAAACATTTCACATTCGATCCAGAAGGCTTCATCAGCCAAGGAAACACACAACACAAAACGGATTCTTCCCCCAACAGCTTACTCCAACGTGGAACAAACCAGCAACATTATCTTACGGTGGCCGTGAGGTGTAAAGGAACAACCTTTGAAAGAAACACAACAAAAACAACATAAACGCAACAACATTTGAAAAAACTGTATTACATTTAGCCAAAGCAGAAATGGCCAAAGAGGAAGTGACAAAAGCGGAAGTGGACAAAGCAGAAGTTGCCAAAGCAGAAGTGGACAAAGCGGAAGTGGCCAAAGCGGAAGTGGCTGAAGTGGCCAAAGCAGAAGTGGCCAAAGCAGAAGTGGCCAAAGTAGAAGTGGCCAAAGCAGGAGTGGCCAGGATCACATTTGAAAAAAACAGAATTACATTTGAAAAAACGAAAATATATTTGAAAAAAATTAGAATTATATTAAGCCAAACCAGAAGTGGTGTGTGTACTTTACATTGTTCTGTTCTGTTTTATGTTGTTAATAAAATTTTAAAAAACAATAATAAAACACTAAAACAAAAAGCCCACCACTTCCGCTTCAGCCACTTCTGCTTTGGTTTAATGTAATTCTGTTTTTTCAAATATAATTCTGTTTTTCTCAAAAATAATTCCTTGTTTTTCAAATGTTCATTTACACCGTAGGGCCACCGAACTATCTGCAGCTTGTATTAGTTCTCATTTCTCAGTGTCTTAAACTCTCTGAACTGCTCAGTCTGGGTAGTTTTCAACCGAAGTAACCAAGAGTTTAAGTGTCTTCAAATGTTTGCACAGCGTGATAATCATTTATTCTCTCCTGCCTCTTCCAGCTCTTATTGATCGCTCCGTCCCATCGTGTCGGGGCAGATTGCTTTCAGAGACGGCTGTTGTGACACAGATCTCCCATCGTTTCTCTTAATTTAAATGACTCTGCTTGATGCGTTTCACTTTCATTACACATGGATCGATCACAACAAGTCTGTAAAAACTAAAAGATGATACGAAGGAATCACTTTTTATTTTATTTTTTTTTTAAGTATGCATTTCCCCCTAATTGATGCAAGCCACTTTGATAAGTAAATAATTTTCAAATGCTCAAAATATAGTTATGTGCAATAATACGAACATAAGAGTTAGTAAAGTTAAAAATCTCCTCTACGGGAAAGTGTTGCTCTGTTCCATCTTTGTGATTTAGTGTTGCATTTATGAGAGGAATTAATCCGTGTGTTGACACGAATGAAACAAACGTTAAAAAAAAAAAAGGCTATGCAAATGTTAGCTGTCAGTCAAAATGTCAGCTGCTTCTCTTTGATCTAAATTAGGGGAAGCTATAGATTTTGTGCTTGGGGTGTTGTAAATGAAGCAAAGACACTTAAAAAAAAAAAAGAAGAATATTTCCAAGCTTCCATTTCCAACGTGCTGTCAGCAAACACGCAGAATAACAGCTCAGCACAGACGATCAAAAAAACCAGACTGACAATAAGGCAACAACAAAAATCTTCATCACACGCTCTGGCAGCTTGAGCCGCTCCAAAAATGAGCAGCGTTAAACCAAATGAGGCAAAAAATAATAATAACCAGGAGGTTAAGATAAAACAGATTGTTTTAAAATACTTATAATTATATCTGTGCCAAGGAAGTGGGAGGCGGTTTGGGCAGAGATCTACAGTTAAGATGAGTCTAAAGAAGCATCTAATAATAAATATTAGCAGAAAAATAATGCTTTCTATATTTTGTTTTGATCATTTTAATCAAGGACATTTTTAGCGATGCTACAACAGGAAACAGAATATATTTTTTCATGTTTTTTACATTTATACCATTTTTATAAGACTCATTTGAATTTTGCTAATACATCATATTTAGGTTTTCTTTTTGTACATTTTCAAACCTGCACTCGCAAAAGGAACAGTTAATGTTTTTTGCTTTTATAGAAGCAACTATGTGAGAAAAAAAAGCAATAGGATTGAAGGTTCCCTTTTTATGTGAGATTGTATGTAAAAGTTATGAACAAATATCTTACCTGTTGTAGATGGCTCTTTGAATATTCTCACTTTGGAGAAACAGAGTTTCGTTCTGATCATCTTGATGAGCTAACGGCTCGTCTGAGCTGGACCAAGAATAAAGTGGAACGCTGCCATTTTGAAATAACTCCTGTTTAAAAAAATGTTAGCAGCATCAGCTAACTTTAACGTATAAACCTTCACGTTACTGTAAATGCCACATTACACAAATATTTATATCAAGTTTTGTGATTTTTGTGACCACAAATGGCAGCAGCAGCCATGACAGGAATATTATATTTCACCCAGAAAAACTGCATTCAAAGATCTGACGGTGAAATAAATGTTCACGAAAATGTTTTTGCATGAAACACTTTTCAAACTTTTGCAGCGGGAGTTGTTTAAGATGATAGTTTATTTTGGTCTTGACCCTGCTGGAACTGTTCGCTTGTCAGTCAGAATTAAACTGTTCTTCAAACTGAGGCCAGTCAAAGAGCGTTCTACAACAGGTAAGATATTGATCATTCTTAACCCTTCCACAGATTCGCACATCAAAAGATCTGAACTAACCCTTTAAGTAAAACTACTGATTCATTCATTCAGTGTTTCTGAAATTAAATGAAACACAGAACAAAGGAAGCAAATCTTTTTTTGTTTTAAAGCTGTTTGAGGTGTAGGTGTGGAGCTGATTAAACTTTTTTGTTGTTGTTGCACAATAATTAAAGTCCAGTTGTTGTTGTGGGCGCTGTGCCCTCACAGCAGGTCATCAGAAAATCGTTCAGGTCATAAAATGACGAGTGAGAGAGAAAAGAAGAAAAGAAAGAACATTGAAATAAATGAGTTACTTTTTCTGCTTTTTAATTACATATTGTTGTTGTTGTAACTATTTGTAATATCTCATTAAAATTGATCCCAAAACAAAGTTTTTAGGAGACATTTTGACATAAATGGAGCTGTGGAAATAAGATATAATATCATATGGAAAATGTAAAACCACAATGTTTTTAGACATTCAGTAAATTACTTTCCGGTTCTGTAAGAGTCGCAAATGAGCAACTTAATTTTATTCAGTACATGGTAAATAATGTAGCTTTTTCACTCTTTATTGTTAATTGTTTCGTGGCACTACACCAAACTGAGCTCAGCTGTGTGCCAGTAAATACATTACATGCTTCTTCTTTGTTTTTGAGAACATTTTGCAGAATTTTTTGTTTCATCAAAGCAAACAATTGCCCCTTAAAAGAAAAACTGCTGAGAATTGTTTTATCAGAGAGAGCGAGCACAGTTATGTAGGTTTTCTCCCCAAGCCTGCATTAATAATGAGCTTATTTGCATTGCCTGGTCTTCCCTTGTTATATATTCACACAAGAAGTGGTATAAATATGCACTTTTAGCCTATATGAGCATCAGCCGCATGGATTTCTTTTTTTAATTCTTAAAGAAAGCCCAAAGGCCTGCCTCATTTACTGCACAGTTAAGCACCTGTGAGGACATGTACAGCTCTGGGTGACTGATCAGCTAAATGTCAGCGGCAGCCGCCTGAGCCAGCAGCGCAGCATTACACAGTTGTTTATTTTAGGATGTTGTTTCTTTCAGAACGTGTACTACACCAGTACGCAGCAGTTCCACGTCGGGCTCCTCAGTCCCACCGTCGATGATGACGACAACAAGTGCCTGGTGGATGTGAACGGCAGGCCTCGCCTCATTGAGTGTAGCTACGCCGCAGCCAAACGCATGAAGCTCCACTGGCTCTTTACTCAGGTGACACAAACAACAACAAATAAACAGAATGTTGGTGTCCAGCCTTCTCTCGAGACTCCACTTCCAGCTGTTTGTGATAGTTAAAGTGTTTTTTAAAACTTGGTTTTGAATTTGTACCTTCTTGAAAGCGTCAAGTCCATTTATTTTCTGCATCTTATTTTATAAAGTTTTATTCTAGTTCACTTTAAAAGGCCACTTGCTCACATTAACAACTTAAACGTTTTGTTCTTAGAGAACTTTTAGTTTATTTTGCTGTCGGTGCAGCTCTAATCCAAGACTTTTATTGTCACATTTGTAGAAAATCTAATGTGTCACAAAGGACCAGTCACTCTTCACACCTCTTCAAAACCTCTCACCTTTAATGTGATCTCACTCATCTGCTGTCGTCTGGTCACACAGCTGTGGTGGGGTGTAGAAGAGACGACCCGGAGAAACAGTAAAGGGAATCTGTGGAGTGATGATGCAGTAATTTCCCCCTGGGATTAATAAAGTGTCTGTCTGTCTGTCTGTCTGTCTGTCTGTCTGTCTGTCTGTCTAACTAATGTGGCCAACACCAAGGTGATGATGGGGATTCTTTAGAGAAAATTTCAGACCACGACGACCATATTTTCGGTGTATAAGTCACAGTTTTTATTTTTCATAGATTTGTCAGTCCTGCGACTTATATACGTTGTTTTTTTCCATATTCATAACAAATTTTTTGACTGACGCTTTAAATTTCGTAGAATTGCAACAATGAGTTCTCCCATGCACGCTTGCTTCAATTGGCTGGTTGCAGGCGGAGGAATGATGCTGGAGAGCCAGCAGCTCCGGCCACGACGGACGGATGGATGGACAGACGGACGGATGGATGGATGGATGGATGGATGGATGGATGGATGGATGGATAGATGACACCGCACTACCCAGGCAGAATTAAGCTATTTTGACCATTAAATAAACGCATAATAAACGCATAATAAACACATAATAAACGCATAATAAACGCATAATAAACGCATAATAAATGCATAATAAACGCATAATAAATGCATAACAAATGCATAATAAATGCATAATAAACACGACTTATACGACGAAAGGACTTGCATGTTTTTTCCTCTTCGTGATTTTTTTTTTTTTTTTTACTTATACGCTGGAAAATACGGTATATGACCAATTTAAACCTCTGACCAACTAACATTTTGTGTAGCTTGTTAAGAACAATATACTTTGACGTACATTTACTTCCTTCACGCTGGACAACTACCTTACTACACTGTCCATCACCTACACAACAAATTACAATGTAGCTGGATCACAGTAAACTTGGCCAACCAGGACGATCATGAGGTGCTATACTTTTAGTTCTCTCCAAACAGATGTTTTCCTGTTTTCTGCATCCCAGACACTCTGCAGGTCTCTCAGCATGCTCCACACACCTACACTGGCATGAATATAACAAACTGCAGCAGAATGCAGCCATGGGTCTCACATCTGTTGTTTCAGTAATCTTGTTATCATTCTGGTTGTAGCCTGGACATCAGACCAGCATGGCCAGTCCTGCTTCAAATTTTTGATGACACAGACCATGTACTATGGATATCCTGCACCACTTCATCCAGACGTCATTGAGCAAACTGTCCCACCACCTTCATGACTCCCCATAGGTTCATGACGCTCGCTCTACAACAGATTCACCCAGTTTGCTGTTAAAATTAACTTTTCAGGAAATTATTAACATTTTTCTCCATTTTGCTGCAGAACTGCTCATCTCAGTCTAATAAGAGATAATTCTGTTGCCTTTACAGCTTTATCTAAAAAGTATTAATACATAAATGATGCACATTCAGCCAGTTTGCTCTGCCTCTTTATTTATTAACCTTTATTTATTTAACCAGACAAATCCCACTGAGATCACAGATCTATGGGAGGCCTGGGCCTGAACATGCATGTTTTTGGTCTGTGGTAGGAAACTGGAGTACCCAAATCTTATCTCTCTGACTGCATTCAATTCATTCAACTTAAATCCTTTCATTCTCTGTCTCACCCCATCTCCACGGGTGTGCTCCAAGGCTCTGTCCTCGGAACCCTTCTTTTCATCATTTACCTTCTTCCTTTGTCACATCTTCTGCAAATTTGGTGTCCATGTCCACTGCTATGCAGATGACACAAAGCTCTACTTGTCAACGAAACCAAACTCCACCCACCCGCCCTTCATCCTCACCGACTGTCTCAGTGAGCTCAATCGTTGGTTTTCTAACAATTTCTTTCAACTAAACAGTGACAAAACAGAAATCATCCTTGTTGGTACCAAAAACTCTATTTCAAAATCAGAACGTCTTCTCATCCTCCTTAACAACTCTCTGCTATCCCCCTCGCCTCAGGTCAAGAGTCTCAGTGTCATCCTTGACACCACTCTCTCCTTCACTTCACACATCAACAATGTTGCCTATTTCCATCTCCGAAATATTGACCGTCTCCGCCCTTCTCTCACTCCCGACTCCACAGCCATCCTTGTTCAGTCTTTTGACTTCCCATATTCACTTCTGCAACTCACTTCTTTATGGCCTCACCAAATGGTCCAGAATGTCATCACTCAAACCTCCACCTATAACCACATCACTCCTGTCCTGCAGCAGCTCCACTGGCTCCCGGTTAAATTGCACATCGTCTTCAAAATTTTTCTTCTCACCTTCAAAGCTCTCCACAACCTTGCCCCTCCTTACTTATCTGACCTCCTACACATCTCCATCCCCTCTCGCTCTCAGATCCTCCTCTTCGCTGCACCTCCATGTACCCTCTGCCCACCTCTCCACCATGGGGAGCAGGGCCTTCACCTGCTCTGCCCCTCACCTCTGGAACTCTCTACCACCACACCTACGAAACACCACCTCTCTTTCTCTGTTCAAGACTGCTCTGAAAACACATCTCTTTAGACTAACTTATCCTCCTTAACTTTGTTTCATGTATTTTATATTTCAATTTATTCCTGCTGGTCTTTGCACTGTGTTTGTTTTTACACAATCTTATCTGATATGTTTCTTGCTGTAAAGTGTCCTTGGGTGTCCTGAAAGGCGCTTTTTAAATAAAATGATTATTATTACCAGGAGAAAATCCACGCAGCACGAGAAGAACATGCAAACTCCACACAGAAAGACCCCAGGTCCAACCAGGGATTGAACCCAGGACTTTCTTGCTGTGAGGCAACAGCGCTAACCACTGAGCCATTGTGCTGCCATTGTATGCATTGGACACATGAATCTTTTATGAACTGTTACTTTTTACTGTATGTCATGTTGAAATTTACTGTCTAGATATTATTTTAAGTTTTCGGACGTCCCTTGACTCTTGGGTCTTTTTCTTTTTTAGATTGCACCATCTGCCTTTTTTCACAGTTTATTGCTGCTGGTTTGACAAAAAAATTGTTTCATGAGATTAAAATAGATCTGTCTGTCAAGGTTTTAAAAAAACTAATTTTTTTGACCTTGTCACCACTGAACTGCTCTACAGTTTTATATAATCGTGTGCACAAAGTGTAAAGAGGTTTTTCATGCGCTGGCTCACATGTCACGTGTTTTCACACTGATCTTTATTTTAGTTCACTTTGCATAATTCAGCAAGTGCAAAGGAAGCCTATCAGCAAGGCTGAAGCACGTCGTGTTTCTGAAATGCTCCATCATTTCTTGACACAGTTGTGATTGCACATGTGCAAAGTGTCAAGCTCGGATGGAAATAGATCTCTTTGATGCAGAAGAAGCAATTTTAAGAAACGCTCTGCAAATAAGATTTAAAAAAAGTTTAATCCGTTCTTGCTTCACGTATCATACCATTCTGCACAAAACCTTGGTAGCTTCTTCATTTCATTTGCTCTCTGCAAAAACTTCAGTAAATCTGATTATCACATGCTTTGCTGTGTAAAAAATATATAACTAGAATAAAAGTATCAAAAAATGCCCAACTATTAGTCACAGAGTATGTTAGTGGGTGGAAATGTAGTTTGGTTTGCTTGTACGAGTTGTGTGTCTGTGTGGGTGTTGCCATTTTTACTCTCCACTTAAACAAAGTGTTCCATATAAGAGACAGAAAACTGAGACAAAATCCTATTGACTAAACTACAAAACTATGACATAATGTCTGCTCACACTCAGGAAACAATAGAGCAAAACATAATGTGAACATGGCTGCTCGTTTACAGTTATATATATATATATTTGCAGAGTTTAGTTTAACTTTGTTTCAGATCTGTAATAAACATTTTGTCTTTAATCTTGCAGGCAAAGAGTTCAGAAATTACATTAAACTTTTGAGTAATGGTTTAGGTTTTAAAAAAAAATCTCACATTTTAAATTCACCTTTCAAAAAGTTTTTTTTTTTTCTCATCTTCCTGAACTGTGTAATGAAATACTTCTGATCTTTGCAAAAGGGTTAAAAACGACTTTTCCTCTTACGTTTTGTAACGTCCGTCCATCCATAGACTTTCAGAAATCCCTCCTCCAGAGACACTTGGAAAGAGCAACTCCAAGAACAACTAACTACGGTGGCCCGGAGGTGTAAATGAACAACATTTGAAAAAACGGAATTACATTAAACCAAAGCAGAAGTGGCCAAAGTGGGGTCTGCGTACCATTTGTTCAGTTGTTTTTTTTTATTGAGAAGCCAAAATAAAATAAAATAAACACATGTTTCATTATTTATTTTCATGAGGGATTAAAATACAATACAGCCATGCTTTTTGCATTTTTCACTTTATCCTCACATCAAAAATCAAACATTTGTAAAATGCCCCGTGACATCATTTGATCTAGATTTTTATATTTCACCAACATGTGTGACCCGGAAAACGTCTTGATGGTCGATACATTATATGCACAGCAGAGGTTCCGCTTTGGCTTAATGTAATTCAGTTTTTTTGTTTTGTTTGTTTGTTTGTTTGTGTGGGTTTTTTTCAAATGTTGCTCATGAACATCTCAGGGCCACCGTAACAAACAGTTTATTTACAATGAGTGAATATCAGCAAATTTCTGCGACACTGCTGGAAGGGACTGGAACCCTGAAGAGCAAGGACAGGGGTTACTTTGAAGGTCTTGGTCCTGAGGGTGATTCAAGATATTATTTATATCTTACTGTTGGAGGAAAAGGTCATGATGAGGGTCTGGTAGTTCCAGGAATCATGAAGGAGAGCGTTCCAGGAAGGTTGCATCTATCGATGGGCAAGTAGTGGAAGGTGAGGAACAGCTGGAGTGGTCACAAGGAGGCTTAGGATGAAACCAGGAGGTCCAAGACACAGGAGGAACACAGGAGCAACACAGGAGGAACACAGGACAAACACAGGAGGAACACAGGACAAACACAGGAGGAACACAGGACGAACACAGGACGAACACAGGACGAACACAGGAGGAACACAGGATGAACACAGGACTAACACAGGACAAACACAGGATGAACACAGGAGGAACACAGGAGGAACACAGGACGAACACAGGACAATCACAGGAGGAACACAGGAGGAGCACAGGACGAACACAGGAGGAACACAGGACGAACACAGGAGGAACACAGGACGAACACAGGACAAACACAGGAGGAACACAGGAGGAGCACAGGACGAACACAGGAGGAACACAGGACAAACACAGGA